GCCCCTGGACCTGTGGCAAGCCCATCGGGAACAAACGGGGATGCTGAACCCCGACTGCTGCTGCCCTGCTACTGCTGTTGCGCAATCCGTAGCATTTTGGCTCAAGCCTGACACCTCCACATACCTTGGCCAACTGTACGGTTCCTGGATTGCAGCTGTGGAGGCCACCATCTACGACCACCACCAGCAGGCCCACCTCGGGAGCACCAGAGCTCAGGGCCCCGAGTTTCGCGTCGTGACTGTGCGAGAGGCTCAGACCAAGCGCGCCACAGCGCTTCGGGACACGAGCAGCTCCTGGTGGACGCGATTGCACACGACTTTGCAGCACATCTATCGGCATCGAGCACGAGCCAACGGACAGCTCCAACTACGGCAACTGCACGAGGCCGTCGATAGGCTACGCCAGGAGGCGCCAGGAGGCGCCGCCACCATCATCCGCGACAAGGACGGCATCCCGTGGGACCGCTGGCTCCGCCTACTCGAGGCAGTCCGTACCACCCCCGTCGAGGAGCTGGTGGACTATGCAGCTGCAGCGGGTTTGCTGGCCAAGCGAGCTCAACGCCGAGCCCTCAGCAAATCTATGCATGAATTTCGGGAGTGGGCGGTGACGACGCCAGCTTTGAGCGTCCTCCACCGCACGCTCCGACCTCAACCACAGCCGGCTGACTCCAAGCTGGTGGGCACCACCACCCTGGTCCACCCGAAGGACCTGCTGGACCACAAGGTCACTTGCTGGCACCAGCTGTGGGCCCCAGCAGGACAGGACCTCAGTGGACTCGAGGACCTTTTCGACATGATCCTGCAGCGAGTTCGAGAGCGTGGACTTCCTCCCCTCGACGGTGCTGCAGTCCGACGAGCTCTTCACAGGCAGCGGGCCAACACAGGCCAGGGCGCTGACCGCCTCAGCCCCACAGACCTGCTGCGGCTGCCTGACGAGGCGCTCGAAGAACTCGCCAGCCTTTTCAATATTATGGAACGCACTCAGATGTGGCCTCATCAACTTCTACTTGCGGTCGGAGTCATGAGGGCCAAGAAGGACAACGGCGACCGCATCATCGGACTCTTGCCCGAGATAGCACGCCTATGGTCCATGTGCCGTGAGGACACGGTCCGCGAGTGGAACCTGGAGTGCCTCGCCCCGTGGGATGCTGCTATTCGCGGCAACTCCGCCCTCAGAGAAGCTTACGAGAGGGCACTCCAGGAAGAGATCTCGGCCCTTGTTCAAGCCCCACAGGGGCACGGACTCCTGGACATATCACAATTTTACGACTCAATTGATTGGATCGACCTGGGCAGAGAGGCGCTGGACCTGGACTTCCCCGCGGAGGTCCTGGGCCTCGAGGTCCTCCAGTGCATCGCGCCCCGCGTCCTGACCCAGAGCGGCAGCTACACGCTGCCCTTCCAGCCGACACGATCGGTAGTGCAAGGGCTACGCTCAGGCACCCGCTTCGCGAAGTGCATGACGTTCAAGGCTCTGAATCGAGTTACTCAGGCTCACGCCCGATGTGCTCACAGAATTTGGATCGACGATTTATCTCAGCGACTTCAGGGATCGCATCAAGCAGTACGTCACGGGCTTCTCAAATGTCTACTCGACACGTGTCGAGGCCTGAAGTCCCGTGGCCTGAATATAGCCAAGAAGAGCATCATTCTCTGCTCCAGCATGGATGACGCTCGATATATCGCACGTGGTCTGGCACGACACGGTTTCAAGGTACAACCACGGCAGCAGGCCTCCTACCTGGGCACAGACCTTGGAGCAGGAGTACGACATGCGCGCGCGACGCGCACACAGCGGCTGCAGAAGCACAGGCTCATGCATGCCAAGGTTGTCCGCCTGGCACGTGCCACCCGTCGCTACAAGGTGACAGGACGCCTAGCTCAAGCTGGAGCTCAGGCGGCAGGCGGCTATGGCCACCAGTTGCACGGCGTCTTCGGCACGCAGATGGTCCTTTTCAGGCGCCGCCTGGGCGACGCCCTGGGGCCGCGCCTGCAGGGGCGATGCCTCACGACGCTGCTGGACCTCAAGGCAGCAGCCCAGGACCCTGGGCGGAAGTTTCCACGAGAAGCTGCGCACCTCTGGCTCAGCACGTGGATCCAGGCAGGCCCGCTTCAGAAGTCCATCGCCTTCACATGGCAGAAGGTCGTGACCCACCTGCGCTCATTACCAGCAGGCCAGCGAGCACGACACATACGTGGCCCACAATCAGCCATGATCCACTACCTCATGGAGCATGGCTGGAACCCGAAGGCGCCCTCTGAGTGGACTTTTCCACCCGGCCTGCAGGGGGCCGACGGGCACGACACTTGGGAATTCGATACCACCCGTCTGACGGGTAACCCAGCAGTTGACATTCCAGACGACCTGCTACACGACATCGACCGCAGCATCCAAGCCAAGTACTGGCTCCAGGCCAGTGCGCACTATGGAGGATCGGGCATGGAGCACGGGATCGACAATCGGTCCTACCGCAAGCTGCTGGACTACCTCTCCAAGATG